AATGGTCCTGATTCAGGGTTTCCATCTGATTCAGAATTGGAGGCAAATAATGGTGCCTGGCAGACATCATGAAAGTTGACATTCATTATAAACCAGTTTGAATGCCTTGAATAGGGAGCACCAGGACACTCCTAGCACCATAAATGCTACAGCAAACTGTTGTGGTTATAGTGCTTAGAGTATTACTTTTTATGTTTGGGGGTATATGAAGTATTGTCCTACAATAACTGCTGATCTGGTATCTGCAGCTACTGCAAGTCTCCTTCTACTTCAAATTTTCCACAGACATCATGTGGCTGAAAGATGGTGAGGTGTAACAATGTTCATTTGCAAAAGTACTGATTTTACTGAAATCAACATTTACAAAATGAATAGAGAAGGTACACTCTTTATACATAAAGCACTTCAACAAGCTGATGTGCTTTCTGTGTTTGTAGTATTTATTCAAGCATTCCTTGACTTCAAATTCTATAATATCTATTGTGTTATGTCACCATGTTACATTGCCTTGATTTTAATCACAATGATGTCATAGACTTAGAGTTGAGGATAAAGACATGTTGCACAGTCTGTGTCTTTACATAATTCATTTTCATTACTTTAAGACTATAGTGATGGTATGCAGACAGGCTAAGGATTCGAGTATAAGAAACCAATATCCTCTATGTCTGAGGTGTGCAAGACTGCAGACAATGACAAAAAGGACAGGGTGAGGTGTGATAGAAAGCAGTTGTTGTTAGGGAATTCTATCAAATAGGTGTGGAGTTGGACAATAGTGGCTTTGTAAGATGTCTTCCTGGAGTTACTGCTTAATATACATTAAGTCCTTGCAGTGAGGACCAAGAGCAAGACATGTGGTATGCCATCTAGAAGCTCCGAGCTCGCCAATCTGGTAGGACTTGAGGGCGAGGCCTGGAGAGGTGGACAGGCAAGCTTTTCTACAAGGGTCAGGGTAATAGGTAGGGGTAGGTTAGGGGTAAAGGCAGTGTTGGTCTTCCCGCCGTGTCCCACCCCTCTGGTGGTAGGTGGTAGGTGGTAGATGGGAAACAATCTGGAAACAAAGAGCGAAAGTGAAGGTTGAAAACAGAGAGAAAGAGGTCGAAGGAGGAAAGTGGCTCCCTCTATGGGCAAGTAGTGCCCGGGGTGATCTCCCCTATATCGAGGTGATACTCATGTGGCAGTGAAGGCAGTTGAAGCTCCCCCTGGAAGAAACTTAAGACAGCCTTAAGACACACACGAGTGTTCGAGGGGTGTGTGGCTCAGCTCCCAAACATTTATTATTTTTTTCAGATATCCTATTTAATTGAGAGAATATGATGTAACTCAAGGGAAAGGCCCCCACTCTTCCCTGCTAAATGAGAGTCTAACCCGCTATCATGTTAAGTAAGCTAATGGGTTGAGCAGTGACCCCCCATTCCACAATTGTACTACTGAACGGACGTCCAGTGATTGAGTAAGGTGCGGTGGAGTGCTCACCGTCTAATAGCCTAATTCTCTGGTAAGCCCAAGAGGCGACCACCCCTTGAAATGACCCCAACTACTCCCGAGTCCACAATGGCCCCTGCTCCAGTTCTCAGTACCGCAGCCCCTTTCCCCCCCCAGTGAGTCAGGGTAGAAAAATGTTACACCCTGGAAACTAGCAGGTATGCCCTAGGTGCATACAATCGGTGTATTCAATAAGGCAATACGTGTGGAACAATTGAATCTCCAAACATTTGGTGAATAATAAAATAATAATTAAAAAGAGGGTGGGAGGAGGAAAAACATTTTTTTTGTGTGTTTTGCAGTAGGTCCAGCAAGGGAGAGGGTATGGGGTGAGAATTCCAGCAAAGCTGGCATGGGTGTCTCCCAGGACCCCTATGCCACCCAAAGCAATAGTAATTTCCCATCCCTCCAGGGAGTACAGAATGCCGGTGTCATAGATGAATATCACGCCAAGCGGGGCACCACATAAGGGGGGCCCAGAACAACTAGGGTAGAAAAAATAAGTAGTGGGGGAACTGCACAGACGATCCGGGTGCTGACTATCATCCCCAGTGAAACGGTGTGTGTAGCATGGGTACCAGTGGGAGATATAGGGCCTATCCCAGTGCGAACCCCCACCCAAAAGTAGGGCACTCCCTCCCAACGTCCAGAATATCAGGCTTGGGCCGTATGTGACAGGCAATGGGGAGCAACGGGCTTAAGTGTACCTCAGTGCATAACTGAGGCCCTCCAGAGGGTTGGTATGATCACTCCTCCGGGCATCCTGGGTCCGGGAACCGTCAGGGCAGAGGTCCCACTGGAGAGTCCCCTCTCCTGCGACATGGAGCTCTTTGTGGATGGGGCCTCAGGACCCAATTGACGGCGGCAGCTGCAGTCTGTCTAGGTACTCTGGCACATCCTCAGGCCACCTTATGCTGATCCAGTCAGAACGGAAAGCCCCACCGATATTGTATCCTACGTTCCTGGGCATGGAGGTTACCGGTCTCAGAGTCCTTCTGGCAAATGGGAGAGGTAATTGTAGATGGCCACCTGTGCACCCTGAAACTCTCATGTGTTTCCACTGGGGGCTTTAAGCATGATCCTTTCCTTCTGTTTAAAGGAACCTAGACAGCAAATGATGTCCCTGGGAACAGAGTTGTCTGGCCTTGGGTGCAAGGCATGGTGGGCCCTTACAAATTCATACATGCCCAGTACATCTTCCCCAACAATGGATCAGAACAAGGTAGGTGTTCAAGATCCTCAGGGCATTCAGGTTCAAGGAGGCCTCACACCCACAAATTACACCTGCAACTGCGAATATCCAAATCTTCCACCTGGCATCGCATCTCTAGTGGCATATTGCCCTGCCTTGCCAATGCCTGATCTGTGGCTTTGGCCCAAGTCATGAGGCCTTGAGTTGTGCGCCCCAGGACTTGTATCCGGGACCCCTGAGCACTGACCTCAGTGCGGATCAGGGACATTTCGGACGTAATGGTGTCATTGGGTGTGGAGGTGAGGGTCTGGAAGTCCTGTTTAGTAGCCATCATGGAAGCTAAGGATCGCAGATCAGCGCATATAATGTCTAATGTAGAATGGTCCGATCTCACCAGGGAGGACGGTGGAGATGGTGTCATATTGGAATCCGATTCCGCATGGCTAGCCCCAGCCGGGTAATGCAAAAGTCCAACCATGGGGCCAGTTTGAGAGCCGGAATTCGAGCTCCTGGGTGTCTGGGGTGGATCAGGAAGATGTGTTCTCCCCATTGGTGGTTGATTAAGTTGGGAATGCACCGATATTGTGTTTATTTAGGGCTTATAGGAGCAGAGCTCTCAGGCTCTGCTGCCATTTTGGTCAGAGTCCAAGCTACACCCCTGGTATCGTTATTTTGATTAACTTTTAGGAGGAAAACTGCCACAACAAAAGGAAATAGTCTTAAATCAGTGCGACAAAGATTTAAAAATAATTTCAGGAAGTGTTACTTTACTGAGAAGGTAGTGGATGCATGGAATAGCCTTCTAGTTTAAGCGGTAGAGGTAAACACAGCGAAGGAGTTTAAGCATGCATTTAATAGGCATAAGACTATCCTAGATATAAGAGACTAATGGAAGTTTTTAGAAAAGTGGGCAGACTAGATGGACTGAATTGTTATCTGCCATCACATTGCATGTGTGTATGTTTCTATCCTGTTCTTTTTACTATTTGACTATTTGAGTATTTGCCAATCTCAGGCCCAGCTAAGCACCTTGGATTTGAAGGGAGGGTGGTTTTCTTACTGTTTCTATCAATGCATTTTAGGTATGACAAGGGCACTTTAATTTTATTTATTCCAACATCTGTTAGAAATCTATAAAATATTTTAAAAAATATATATATACACTAGTCACCTCCTTGACAAAAACTCTAAAACTAAGGTCTTGATTTAATATTGTTGTATAAGCTTTCCAAATTATTTGATATGTTTGGATAAATCTTTAAAATAATTTCATATTGTGAAAATATTAAAACATTTTAATATATTTGTATAAATTGATATTTTTTGTATATGATATATGTTTTGATATTATAATATATTGAAAACATAATTTGAAAAGTTTATAAAAAAAAATATTAAATTATTTGAAAAGCTAATCCAAAAATATTAAATTGAGGACTAAGTTTGGCCAACTTAAAAATATAAACAATTAGAAAGATCTATTTCGGGTGCAGTATGTTTGTTGTTTTGTAAGAGTTAAGAGCAAGTGACAAGATGTCATATTTTCTTTCAAGTACAAAACATTTTAACAGTTGGAAACATGTTAATGCCATTAGCCATTAATTTGTATATGCATTTAATCACAAATTGTTAGCAGCATTAGCTCTATTCTATACAATGTCAATGCAAATGCTGAGACTCAGCAGGGACTAATTATGATTAATTCACAAATTAAATACCATAAGAAGCAGTGTTTTAATTTAAATTATTGACTATTCACTTACATAACAGAGCATTCATTTTGTACTTTATGTGTTTTTCATGATGTACTTTAGTGTGTTTCCTGTAATTGCATGAGGTCTTTTCCATTATTTATAAAATAAATTTTGACTTCCTAAATGGTCAGTTGATATTAGTTCTCTACATGTTATTTGAAATTACACCTACAGCTAAATTGTGGTATGCTTATAGACTCAACTACAAAACATACTATATTATAATATACTATAGATCAATTGGAATTCTATTATTGTTTTTAAAGATGTAAATGTAATAGTATGAATTTAAAATATTTTTCTTCAGAAGCAATGCATTCTACCTGATTTTTACTCCAGTCTTTTTTTCCAGGATATAAATATTTGTATCATATTAATATAAAAAAAAGAAAAGAAAAGAAAAAAGATCTTAGACAGATCAGTTTGTTCAGTTACACATGTCATCTTGAAAATGTTCTTGTTCTGGGCAGATTTTGTGTGTGTATTGTTTGGTTCATTATTCGATTACATTTCAGCATCGAGTTTGACTGATCACGGGCCCAAAATCTGATGAGTTGCTCTTCACACCAAAATTAATCTCTCAGTCTAGCCAACACACTGTTTTCTAAGAGGGTTAACAAGCTCCATTTAACTCTACTTTTTGTGTTAGCTTGTGTGTTAGCTCTTGTCATTCAATGTGACCTACACTATAGATTACATGTTTATTAGTGGTCATAAAACTGTAGTGCTTACTGAAATAACTTCAGCAGGGTTTAAATTAATTTGACAAAAACTTGCTAGAGCTCCACCTGCTGCTCAATCTAAAACTCAATATCTGTGTTGAATAAAACCTTTTTTCAAGGCATGTATATCAATGTATAAAGTTCTGATTCTTCTGTAGTTAAACTGTATTTACTTTTGAAAGTTTACCCTGTGAGTTTCTTTACATATAGGTAGCAGCTCTGAGTGTCCATGTCTTGGTTGCATTACATGGTTTTACCTCTTCTGCTGCTGTCCTGTTCTATTCACTGATATCTTCTTTTGCAATATCATATCAGGTTGGGAGTTCAAGTACTGCATATGTTTCAGCGCAGTTTCCTTGGTGATATAATTTTTGTAACCCAAAGTTAGTTTTAAATTGCTGTTTTTTTTCCACAATATCCTGCTTTTACATAAATATTTAACTTCAAATTCAATTTATTGTTGAAAAATATTTTGTAGGTTAATTTGGTCTTTCCTGGGTCAGACAGAAAATGTACACTGCTGCTAACTGTGCGAGATTCTATGTGGGGTTCTGTAGAGTGATCTAAAGTGCTTAAAGTAGGGCCGTCACTGAACAAAATAATTGGACTCAGCATACCCATTCCATTGGTGACTCCTCCCCTTACACATTTTTGCATCACTTTTTGGAAGTTAACCCTTTTTATAGATATTTCACACTATACTTAACATTGTTGATGGCCTGCCTGTATGCAGTTCAGTAGCTGTTATTTAGACTTGAGCGGACACCTGGATGTTTCTGGTCCGTCGGGTTCGGCTGAACTTTGAAAAAAAGTCCGGGTGCAGGCTCAAATTTGACCCTGAACTTGACCCCGAACCCAAACCACATTGAAGTAAATGGGGACCCGAACTTTTGGCCACAAAAATGCCTCTAAAAAACTAATGGAAAGAGCTAGAGAGCTGCAAAAGCAAGTAAAATGGGGGTAAGAGTAGGACAAGTACCATGCAAACAAATGTGGATAGGGAAATCACTTAAAATAACATAAAAATCAAAAATACAGCTGAGCCATAAAATAGCACTAGATGGAATCTTTGATTTTAGCTTTGGAAGAACATAAATCAAAATCTATAGCATGGCTGTCAGGGGGATCAACAGAATTATCCGTTTGAGAGAGGGCTGGAGTGCAGGGTATTCTCTTTCATTGTTCAAACTGAGCTCAACTCCTGATGCATGGAGAAAAAGCCTTCACAAGCCTCTGCTATTGTGTACATAGTTTATATGAAGTGACCCATAGGTTGAGGAGGTGGTGACCGTGTAGGTGGAAGCAGCGGTGGAAGAGGAGGAAGAGTAGGTAGCCAACACTGCTTATGTATATATATATATATATATATTTTTTTTTTTTTTTAAATTTTTTTTAATTGTGGTAGCTCACAAAATATTGGGACATACAAAAAAAAGAAACATTTGCGGCCTGCGGTGCATTTCTTGCAGTCCTGATGCATGGAGAAATGCTCTACTCCTGATGCATGGAGAAAAGGCCTTCACAAGCCTCTGCTAATGTGTACCTAGTTTATACTAAGTGACCCATAGGTTGAGGAGGCGGTGACCGTGGCGATGTAGGTGGAAGCAGCGGTGGAGGAGGAGGATGAGGTAGCCAACACTGTTTTTTATATATATATTTTTTAATTGGGGTAGCCCCAAAATATTGGGACATATAAAAAAAGACAACTCTGTTCCACAGAGTAGCTGTTGACATTAAAGTTGCGCAGGCACTTTGTTGACTAGAGAACCTTGGGCCAATTGCACATCCCTGTGTCGGCGACTTTGCATGCAGATGTCATCCATATCAGTTTCTGCACCTACCATGGTGACCACAGGTAATGGGGAATCAGAGTTCCATTCCATTCAGGGACCCTGAGAAATGGCTACCACATGCAAGGAAGGCAGCAGGCACAGAAATGATCCACTCCCGATGCGGGAAGGTAGTGACGACAAATAACAATACAGGACTCTTTAGAGGCCCTGTAATTGTAATGAGTCCACTTGAAATCCTTTAACTCTGATCAATTGGAGGGAAGTCTGGTGCAGAGCCACTGACCTGTGCATGCTGCAGCTGAAACTCCACTGTCGCCTGCTGCTGCTCGCACAGTATCATGAGGCGGTGAGTGGGAAGGCCGAAGTTACGCTGCAGCGCAGACAGGCGAGCAGCAGCAGGGTGACAACGACAAAAGCGCGCACAGCCGCTACAGTGAATGTCACATCCTGTTCCAAGTTGATGGCTTCTGGTATCCAGTACTCTTTTTACTGAAGCTGCATCAGGGTCCTGGCATGTGGCCGCACAAATGCTGGTGCTCAACACCAGGGGGCGTGCGGTTACCCTGCACCAGACCCTGCTATTCCATTCCACACTGTGACTCCTAACTTCAACATCAGGTATACTAGGTCCCGGTTGTCCGACCGCCGCCGAGACAGTGTCTGGGTCCTGGTCACCGGACTGCCCACCTTACTGTGAAACTATGAATGGATCGTTAAATCTGGTACGATCCCAAACTTTGCAGTTTGGGTTCGCTCAACTCTATTATGGATCCTTTGATCGCTACATGTATTACTTGGATAACTGGTAATTCTCAAGCTCATACATGCCAACAGGCGCTAGGGGACGGCCGCTCCGCTTTTGCACCCTGCTCCCTCTTATGCTGTGCTGGTGCCTCTGTGTGACCAGCGCCTCTTCCTCCAAACTGCACACGTCACTCACATGACCTTGATTCCATGCGGGGTCTAGGACCTCATCATCCTCCACATCATCTTCCACCCACTCCTCAACCCTGCCCTCCTTGCTGGTATGCACACTGCAGAAAGCCACAGCAATTGGCACCTGTGTTTTTTCAGCATGTAAAGTCTGCAAAGGACATATGGAAATTGATTTAGAATTTATTATTGCAACAGTTTTCCCTATAAACTGACCTCTCAGTTTGACTTCTGAGGGTACTGCCCCAGAATTACAATATTGTTGAAGTACCTCTTAGCTATTGATAACTGGTTTAAATATAGCAGCTTGTTATCTGGTAGTTTCTAGTGTAGAAAATATCAATCTGTTTTCTATCACTTAGATCTGTGTAACAAGTGTTGTAGGTGTGAAACAATATTACAAGTGACCGATGTAGAAAATTAAATCAAAGTTACGCTTTGATTTGACTCTCAGATATGAAGTGAACACCCCCAAAATACTATTTAGCACCAAAAAATAAAATGTACTTTTTAAAACTCCAATGTAAGCAGCAGATTAGCAGCAATACAATTAGAATGTTTACAACTGTGCAGTAAGCGCACTATTTGACGCTTCTATTTGACTCTCAGATATGAAGTGCACCGCAGGCCGCAAATGTACTATTTAGCAGATTAGCAGCAAAACAATTAGAATGTTTACAACTGCGCAGTAAGCGCACTATTTGATGCTTCGATTTGACTCTCAGATATGAAGTGCACCCCACTAAAATACTATTTAGCAGTTTAGCACCCAAATAATTTTAAGTTTTAAAACTGCAATGTGATGGCAGTATTTGACGCTTCTATTTGACTCTCAGATATGAAGTGCACCCCACTAATGTACTTTTAAGCACCCAAAAAATTTTAAGTTTTAAAACTGCAATGTGACAGCAGTATTTGACGATTCTATTAGACTCTCAGATATGAAGTGCACCCCATTAATGTACTATCCCACTAATGTACTATTTAGCACCAAAAAAAATTACTTTTTAAAACTCCGATGTAACCGCGGTATTTGAAGCTTCTATTTGACTCTCAGATATGAAGTGCACCCCACCCCACTAATGTACTAGTTTGCAGAATTCTTTCCTAAGCTGTCCCTATCAGCGGCAGCATCCTCTCCCTACACTAATAAGACCGCATGTGCGTGCGGCGCTACGTGACTCCAGTTTATATATAGAGGCTGGGTCACATGCTGCACCGGCCAATCACAGCCATGCCATTGGCAGGCATGGCTGTGATGGCTTCTAAGGGCACATGAGTCAAACGCTTGTTGATTGGCTGCCCTGCAACCTTTGAAAAGGCGCCATTAAATCGCCGAACACTGAACTCCAACCCGAACATACAGTGATATGTCCGTGTTCGGGTCCGGGGTCCAAAAAACCTAATGTTCGGTACGAACCCGAACTTTACATTCCGGGTTCGCTCAACTCTACTGTTATTGTAACTTCATAAAGTAGGTTGCTGGTTGGAATTACTCAACCTACTTATTTTTCTGCAATGTTATTTTGGTAAGAATTGTATGGTATATTTGTTACAAGTTTGATGTTCTGTCTAGTGCTTTTCATTTTGTACCCACAAATACTTCATAATTGTCTGTACAAATGATTCACACATTATATTCAAATTTGTTACCAGTTAATGCTAAAAACATGAGTTTCCCTATATCCTCATTTTTATGCTTCATGAGATATGATTCAGCATGGTCATCAATAAGCATTACCTTCACCACGATGGTAGAGTAATCATCAATGAACATTACTGAATATCCATTCTAATTAGGAAAGGATTGATCTATACCATTGATCTATACATATCATTATGTAATTCTCTTTAAGTTCCATGAGATTTTTGCCTCACTATGACTTTTTATTGGCATTACTCTGAACCAAAAGCCAAAAGGAAAGGGACAGGTTGTGACTAGTAGGTAATAATACAAATGGCATAATATAATAAAATTCTAAACTAAATGTTGGACAATTGTAATATCAAGAGTCTTAATAAATAACAATGCACATATGGATAGTTTTTACTTTCAAAAAGTCTTTGAATATGTCAAAAGTTCCTAATTGTAGCAGATGATTTTGAGCCATAATCTGATTTTGTTTCTCCATATTCACTATCATGTATATGGAATGACAATAAAGCACACAAAGAAACCAAATGGTGTAATATTGTATAGAACAAGGGTATATTATTGAGTAATAAATTAATAAATATCCCACTCACAGGGATAGAGCTACCAGTTAGCTCACTTGAAACAACATCTGACAATACAATCCTTGTCTGGGATATATGTTAGATGGTAGTTAATATGTCCCAGTACAGATGGTAACTTGGTGCAGATATTAGTAGTGATAATATAAATACAGGGAGTGCAGAATTATTAGGCAAATTAGTATTTTGACCACATCATCCTCTTTATGCATGTTGTCTTACTCCAAGCTGTATAGGCTTGAAAGCCTACTACCAATTAAGCATATTAGGTGATGCGCATCTCTGTAATGAGAAGGGGTGTGGTCTAATGACATCAACACCCTATATCAGGTGTGCATAATTATTAGGCAACTTCCTTTCCTTTGGCAAAATGGGTCAAAAGAAGGACTTGACAGGCTCAGAAAAGTCAAAAATAGTGAGATATCTTGCAGAGGGATGCAGCACTCTTAAAATTGCAAAGCTTCTGAAGCGTGATCATCGAACAATCAAGCGTTTCATTCAAAATAGTCAACAGGGTCGCAAGAAGCGTGTGGAAAAACCAAGGCGCAAAATAACTGCCCATGAACTGAGAAAAGTCAAGCGTGCAGCTGCCACTATGCCACTTTGCCACCAGTTTGGCCATATTTCAGAGCTGCAACATCACTGGAGTGCCCAAAAGCACAAGGTGTGCAATACTCAGAGACATGGCCAAGGTAAGAAAGGCTGAAAGACGACCACCACTGAACAAGACACACAAGCTGAAACGTCAAGACTGGGCCAAGAAATATCTCAAGACTGATTTTTCTAAGGTTTTATGGACTGATGAAATGAGAGTGAGTCTTGATGGGCCAGATGGATGGGCCCGTGGCTGGATTGGTAAAGGGCAGAGAGTCTCTCAGACGCCAGCAAGGTGGAGGTGGAGTACTGGTTTGGGCTGGTATCATCAAAGATGAGCTTGTGGGGCCTTTTCGGGTTGAGGATGGAGTCAAGCTCAACTCCCAGTCCTACTGCCAGTTCCTGGAAGACACCTCTCTGAACAGTGTCTGGGAGGCTGTGGTTGCTGCTGCACACAATGTTGATGGTGAACAGGTCAAAACACTGACAGAATCCATGGATGGCAGGCTTTTGAGTGTCCTTGCAAAGAAAGGTGGCTATATTGGTCACTGATTTGTTTTTGTTTTGTTTTTGAATGTTGAGATGTTATATTGGTTTCACTGGTAATAATAAATAATTGAAATGGGTATATATTTGTTTTTGTTAAGTTGCCTAATAATTATGCACAGTAATAGTCACCTGCACACACAGATATCCCCCTAACATAGCTAAAACTAAAAACAAACTAAAAACTACTTCCAAAAATATTCAGCTTTGATATTAATGAGTTTTGGGTTCATTGAGAACATGGTTGTTGTTCAATAATAAAATTAATCCTCAAAAATACAACTTGCCTAATAATTCTGCACTCCCTGTATAAGCAAAAACAGGGAGCACTGTACTGTTGGAAACAAACAGTGGTATAAAAAGTATGTAAAAACACACTCTCGAATAGAGAGCCTTCCAATCGGCTCTTAGGTACAAGTCAAAATATATAGTTGTTAGCTTTTCTTATGGATCCCCATGGTAGTATATATAATGCAGAAAATAGAGACATAGTGCTCTCTGTATGCAACAGTATATAATATAGTGTATTAAAAAATGCACTTACATTTTTTGGAGCAGCAGTTTGCTCTCTGAACTCAGCTTGGGTGGTATAATCCTCACCAGGGATATATGTAGGTAACAAAATGCTGCAGTACTGACAGGAGTCCTCATTATTAATAGGATATCCAAAGACAAAAATAAATCAATAAAAAGCAGGTCTAATAGTTAATGGTAAAAAATTGATTTATTACCAAACTATAAAATAAATATAAAGATAAAACAGTAGCACAATCATAATGCATTTCGCAATATATCATTTTCAAGTGACAATAAAATCAGTACAAACCTGCAACTAGTCCTTTTATAGGGTATTTCAATATAAACATTTAAAAAACTGTGATAAATTACATCATTCACATGACCACCAAAACACACATGCAAACCTTTATTTAAATCTTTAAAAACATTAAAAATTAAAAAGTAAAATTGTTTTTACAATAAATATGGATCAATATGTACCATG